TATATATATATACCAAAATTGGGCCTATCCCGTATATATAATTTTTTAAAACATTTTTATATATTTTTATTTTTGTAGTGCATAGTTTAACAGACATGCTTGCATTAACAATTCAGATGATTATATGTCACAATGAAAGATAGTAATGATAACATGAAAAATCAAGGACACTGCACTTGGGATGGGGTAGAAAAGAACACTATGGGGCAGGGGAGGGGGGAGAGAGGAACATTAAGCGGGGGGACCAATAAAAGAAGGGAGAAGGGAAGTTTTTCAAATTAGATTAATTACATTCATTAAAAAGTCTAATATTAATAAAATTATAGGAGAAAAACATTTTAAATCATTTGGGGAAAAAAGTATTGCACCCGGCCACTTCACTTTTCTGCAGCCTGAGGGCAAGGATTTAGTGCACGTTTTGATACTCATTAACTGCCATTTTCCCTTCTATGCTAACTGCTTTGTCACTTGAGTTCTTGAAATCTCTGTTCTACAAGTGGAGGCTCTCAGGCAGCTGATAAAATAAAGAGGGTCTTTTGCACATTGACGTGTCAGAATGTGGTTGTATTACTTCATATACCAGCAGGCAGGAAGCTGATCTACCGTTTCCTCTACTTCACCGTTGTACGTTAATTTGTACATGCACGTTCCTATTTATAGTAAACATTTTATGTTGAAAACTATGACTAGAGTTTTGGATCAGTGGTGGCCACTATAGAGTTGTGGCTTCATATATTCTTTAAGTGTTTTGGAAACACTTGTGTTAGTACAGCATGTGATTTGATCCTGTCTAAATGTTTTTTTTTAGTTTTTTTTATTATTATTAAGCTAAACTTTTTTTGGTTACTATAGTGTCCCTTTAAGTAAGAATTCTCACTTTATTACATAACCCTGTAAATGTCAGTTGAGCAAGGAGCTGCAAAGTGTAGCACTTTGTGCACTGGTGCACCAGGAGCAAAAACAAGGCATGGCAGCTCTGATCTAAACAAACAAACATTTTTAACCCCTTAAGGACCAATCTTCTGGAATAAAAGGGAATCATGACATGTCACACATGTCATGTGTCCTTAAAGGACCACTATAGTGCCAGGAAAACATACTCGTTTTCCTGGCACTATAGTGCCCTGAGGGTGCCCCTACCCTCAGGGTTCCCCTCCCGCCCGGCTCTGGAAAGGGGAAAGGGGTAAAAACTTACCTTTTTCCAGCGCTGGGCATGAAGCTCTCCTCTTCCGATCCTCCTCTCCGCCCATTTGGCTGAATGCGCACGTGCGGCAAGAGCTGCGCGCGCATTCAGCCGGTCGCATAGGAAAGCATTTACAATGCTTTCCTATGGACGCTTGGGTGCTCTCACTGTGAATTTTACAGTGAGAAGCACGCAAGCACCTCTAGCGGCTGTCAATGAGACAGCGGCTAGAGGCTTTGGAGGAAGGATTAACCCATTTATAAACATAGCAGTTTCTCTGAAACTGCTATGTTTATAAAAAAAAAAAAAATGGGTTAATCCTAGCTGGACCTGGCACCCAGACCACTTCATTAAGCTGAAGTGGTCTGGGTGCCTAGAGTGGTCCTTTAAGGGGTTAAATTGGTAATGGTTTAGTGAAAGTATGCTTTTGTACCAGAAAGGGAACATTCCCTAAGGTTCTGTTCTTCGACCCTTACTGTTCTCGATCTATACTGCCGCCCTTGGTAAATTCGTCAGCTCCTTCCTTCCAATATGGTACATATGGAATAGGGATCCAGCTTGTATCACTAAAACATAAATAAAAAATACAACATTGCGTAATACTGTTGTGGTCTTATTAATTGCCCAATGGTTCAAGGTTACACTGTAACCTTGAACCATTGGGCAATTAATAAGACCACAACAGTGTTACGCTATGTTGTATTTTTTATTTATGTTTTAGTGATACAAGCTGGATGTCAGGGTCTTACCTGAGTTGGGAGTCTGTAGCGCAGATATGATGCTCACCCTTGCAGATAGCCACAGGCCGAGGTGGTCAGGTAAGAATTCATCTGGCCTGTGGGTCTGTGCACGGGGGCTGTGCAGGATGCAGTACCAATACGCAGGACAGGCAAGGACTGAACCAGCAGGATGGTCGAGGGATAGCCGAGGTCAAAGGATGCCAGAGGACAGGAACAACGAGGAGTAGCCGAAGTCAAGGGATGCCAGAAGTCAGAATAAACGAGTCAGGAAGCCGGGGTCAATAATGCGAAGCGATGAAACAGGAACACTGGAACAAACAGGATCAAGGACTTGACACTGAGCACAGGGCGAGGCTGGGTTTATATACCCTGCTGATGACTGATCAGAGTCAGGTGAAACACAGCCAAGTCAAGGTGCAGCCCCCAGAGTAGTAGCCATGTCAGGATGAACAGGACTGGAATCAGTCTTCACTGTAAATAGCTGCTGTGGCTCAGAGGTAGAAAGCAGGACCAGGACTGAGAAGATCCCCGGTTCAAGTCCCCTGTTGGGAACTCCAAGAGCGACCACGTCTTGCCGTCTGTCTATCAGGTGAGAACCGTGACACTGGATCCCTATTCCATATGTACCATATTATACTTTTTATATAGTTACCATTTTGGGAGGTAACTGAAGGGACGCAAGTATCCAAAGTTAAGTTTCACTTTTTATTCCACGGGTGATTTGGTGGAAGCTATTTTGTATTGTATTGTATCCCTTCCTTCCAATACCATTTCTATGCAGATGACAAGCAAATCTATCTGTCCTCTTCTGATCTCACTCCACCACTCTTGATTCGTGCCTCTAACTGCCTCTCTAATATTTGTAACTGGATTGTTGCTCATTTCCTTAAACTGTCCAAAACAGAGCCTCCCTCAGCTCTACCATACCTATCTGACTCCAACTTCTCCTTCACCCCTCAAGCCCAGTCACTTGCCAAATCCTACTGCTTCCATCTTAAAAACATAGCGCACATCCGCTCCTATCTAATGCTGGATGCAGCTAAGGTCCTGGTAGATTCTGCTATCCTCTCTCACCTTGACTATTGCAATCTGTTTCTCAGTGGTCTTACACATTCCCAGCTGGCCTTGTTACAGTCTGAAATGTATTAATAAATACTGGCTTCCTGTAAGATTTAGGCCTAAATTTAAAATTCTGGTACTTGCTTACAAATCTCTACATAAACACTGCTCCTACCTATCCTCCTATAGAACTCCCTTCTTTGCCCCGTTAGACTGTCACCCAGTCTCTGTTCCTTCAAAAAATAAAAACTGAAAACTCACTTTTTTAGGAAAGTATATTCATTAAACAGTTTTTCTTCCCACATTTTGAAAACCTCATCTTATTTCCTCTTATCCCAAGAATTAACTCTTCATTGTTAACTACTCTAGCAACTTGTTTTTTTTCATGTAGGTGAAATATATCCTACCCTTACCACTTGTGCCACTTTCCCCCACTCCCTCTAGAATGTAAGCTTGTTTTAGCAGAGCCCTCAATATCCTCTGTTGCTGTCCGTCAAACTCATCTTGTTGCAAATACATGTATGTCAGTCCACCTATTGCACAGCGCTGCAGAATTTGTTGGCGCTTTACAAATTAAGAATATTCACAGCGCCCCAATGCTAATCTTTTTCCAGGCTACCTTTATCACCACCAAGACAACTGGTTCTCAAGCATCTTTGAAGTTCCCACAAAATTCCCAAGCTCGACAAGCTTATAGTACTAATCAATGAGGTACTTCAGATTCATGGATTTTTAAAACTGCATTTAACAGCATTCTGATATTTCAGATGATATAAATCACTGTCACTGCAGGGTGCAATAGATATAGCACTAGGAACCAAATAAACACTTTATTCAAAGCAGAGGCCTTAGGCCTTTTCCCCTTATAACTGAGACAGTTGCCTAAACACTATCTTGTAATTGACATAAATCAGCAGACACCTTTCTAAATTCTTATCAACCAATACCGAACCATTCAGAAAGTCAGATGTACGAGCAGACCGTCACGCGTTTAATTTAATTAAGTTGTAGCAGAAAGGTACAAATAAAGTGTTCATTTGTGAAAATGAAGCAAATAAGGCTGTTCCAATTTCTATTATTTTTTTTACAAATTTATTTTTTTTGACACACTGTCACTAAGTTGAAGTTGCTCTGGGTGGAAGTGTTTCTTTAATGCCTTCTATAGCCTGGAATGTTTAGAGGGACCATGTCTTTTTTTTTTTTTTTTCTCTTTTTTGGTTTTCCTTTCTTTATGCCCGCATCTTAATGATTATACATACACACACACACACACACACACACACACACACACAGTCAGTTACAAGCAGTTACACACAGTCACGCACACTGTTACAGGCAGACAGTCCCATATAAAGTCACAGGCAGACAGTCATACACATAGTTACAGCCACACATACACACAGTTACAGGTAGACAGTTACGCACACACATACAGTTACAGACAGACCGTTGCATACGCACACACACACACACTGTTACAGGCAGACCGTTACACACACACACTGTTACGGGCAGACAGTTACACACACACACACACATACACATACACATATTTACAGGCAGACAGTTATATACACACACACAGTCAGTTACAAGCAGTTACACACAGTCACGCACACTGTTACAGGCAGACAGTCACAGTTGCCTCTATTTAGCATCTTTTCTTCCTTGTGTTTGATCTCAATATCTGGGGGCAGCCATTTTGTTCTCTTCTTCCCAGTTTGCCCTTTGGTGGGATTCATTGTAGTGATGGATTGTCAACTGAAACTGAACCTTATTTAACCCTTTAAATCCGGAGGGCGTACTATTACGCCCTGCAGGAGCTGGCTCTAAACGCCGGCAGGCGTAATAGTACGCCCTCGCTATAATGGCTGCCCCAGGCAACCCCCCCTGTGGCCGGTGACCGCGATCTGCATTCTCAGTATTTACTGTGTGTCAGCCGACACATGTGGCCAGCGGCTTTCCCCTGTGCAGATTGTGGTCGGGAGACATACCTGGGCTCAGTGACCGCGATCTGCACTGTCTGAGATCGCAGTGACAGGCTGTCACTGCGATCTCAGAGCGCTCTGATCGCAGTGACAGCCTGTCACTATGATCACTGATCCTGTGTGTCAGCCAGTGATGTGAAATCACTGGCTGACACTGTCTCTGCCCCCTCTCCTGTAATAAAAATAAAATATTAGTTAAAAAAATAAATTACAGTTACAAATAAAATATACTTAGATCGTGTGTGTGTGTATGTATGTATGTATGTATGTATATATATATATATATATATATATATTATACACACATTTACACATACACTAAGTGTATTTTAATATTAAAATATATATATATTAATATCAAAATACACGTAGAAGGATATTGATTAAGCTGCCTTCAACATGGATGCTGTCCAGGAAGTAGGAGGTTCTGGGAGGGAGGGTCTGCCGGAGATTGGCAGGGATGTGTCAGCTGACCGGAGTTCACGGCGAACGGTTCGCGGCAAGTTCGCAAACGGTTCGCGATATCACTACACAGGACTACCAATCACATTTCCCAGAGCCGTACCAGGCTCTGCATAGCAGGCTCAGGGGTGCCAATACTGGCTAATGATCCCAATCTCAATGATGTAAGGTGGACTTGGAATAGGTTAAAAAGCAATTTATTGAAAATATAAAAAAAGTAAATAAATAATAACTTTTGAAGGGTGCTATGTGGGTGGGGGATATCTTTCAACCTACAGTTGTGAATTATCAATTCTAAAATCTTTACATGTTCGCCTTCCTCAGTTCAAACTCACACCTTTTACTGAGATGTAAAGACGACAAACTATAAACATGTTGTGGTTAAAATGCATTTGGTTAAGGGACGTAGCGATCCGCAGAGTGAGTTGCAAATATCCTGAGCTCTGTGCATATTGACTAAAAAGCGTTGTTCTATTTTCATCTAATGTCCACTTTTTACTCCCTGCATGTTGAAAGCGATTTCTAGAGAGAAAACAAAATACACCTGACATTTTCTGCTTCAGAGACTGTGGCCTAAGATGGAGCCTAACCCCAATCCGTAACTCACCTTCCTTACAGGATGGGAATCTAAATGCAAATGTATATGGAAAAACAAAGGCATGCGCAGTTTCCCTCCAGACCTGGATCGCTAAGCCACAAATGGTGACAAATTGGACCTCCTTGAGAACATTTACACTAATGTCAGTGCACCTTGACTGTGAAAATGGGAGGCACTAGATCAGGGGCTGGCAAGCTTGGCACCCCAGGTGTTGTGGACTATATTTCCCATCATTTTCTTATAGCCATAATGCTGGCAAAGCATCAGGGTAAATTTAGTCCACAACATTTGGGGTCCCGAAGGTTGTCTACCCCTAAACTAGGTCATGCAAATAGGAGGAAGAATCAGAAAATACAGGGCACCCTGAAACCGTTGACAACAGAGGAACCCCACATTATCAGGAGTTTATGCTCGGTGCTGTTATCCTTTAAGCAATCCAATGGATTTCGCTTTAAGGGAATTTTGTGCGGCACCCTAAGTCATCGAAAGTAACTTCCCTTTCAAAATGTATTAATCCTGTTGATATCCTATGGAGAAAAAGTGGCAGTGATGGCAGCCACTCGGGGTAAGGAACCCTTTACTTTTTAAATATCACAAGTGACATTCTTTCAAGACCTTTGCAGGTCCACATTACAGTGGAAATAATCTCTCTCAAGTTGCAAACAATTTACAGGACTTTAAAATATTTTACCATTGGGGCCCGACTAGAATGCTGGTTGCCATTGAGGATGGAGCTATATATAGGCTCTCAACGGCAGCTGAACCCACTACATTTGTACAGGGCTTGGAATTCCGTGCTATCCAAGGCAATCGAAGAACACATGGCTCTCCAACATCACTTCCTTTGTACCTCTAAGCCCTTCCAGTTTGTTTCAAAAAATGTTTTAAATTTATGATCAGGCACTTCCATACCTATATTGTATTTTTCACCACACCCAGCTCTTGTGCTTCTCACCACAGATCGGTACCCATTGTGATTCATCTGTACTTTACGGTTTGCTTCGATGCTAGCCATGGCCCATTTAGCTTTAAAATTATATCTTCCGTCTAAATTTCCACGGCTTCTAGTTACTTATACTTTGATTTTTTTTTTTTTCATAATTTTCTCTCCTTTTCTAAATGCCTCCATAGTTACTGACATGTTATGTACAGGATACCTATTTTAGTCCTTTTTCTTTGAATCTTCCATTACATCTCGGAAGCTTGCTATTTCTAATGTCATAGTTCTCATGCATTTCAATATGTAAAATGGACTGTGCTGTGACCCTATCTTCTACATTACATAACTATATCTGTATATATTTCTTACTTTGAGATATATAGGGTTTTATTAGTTGAAGTGCAGTTTTTAAGTACAGTGCTCATTTTTATGCTTCTATTAAACAGTCCTATCAGGCTCGCCCAACCACTAGATTTGTACCTAACAATATGGGCATGCAGATTGGGACAGGGTTGGCAGGTCTTGAGGGCATCAACAGTTACACAACATGCCTCACTGGAAACACCCATAATGGGCACACCTGACTGGAAGTGTGTGTCAGCCTGGCATCAATACACACAAGGCTGACCGACAGCCTACCAGATGACTACACTGGCACACAGCCGCTGCTGAAGTGCTCTCTGCATGGTCCTAGCGCCCGCCACACAGAGTGAGTGCCTCTAATAAACATGCACAGCGCTGGCTGGGTACATTTTCCTGGTGTCCAGCATCTAGTGACAACGGGGAACAAAATTGGAAAGCTGGGACAGGAACCTGAAATATGGACAGTATCGCCGAATATCCATACTATTAGGAGGCTTATGAATGAGGTTCATTGGAGTTATATGCCAAAGAAGCTTTGTAGCAAGTAGTTGACTCCCCGTGCCATTACATCTGATATATTTTAAGTTGGCTCATCAGCCTCATCCAGAATCTCGCCAAGATTGACCAGCATTATAAGGTAGCAGAGGCACACAACTTCTTGCACAGCTGTATAAATGTATCTGTCCTGCCCCATTAGCACTGAGCTAGTGCTGGCTGTGTGATTGTGACAGAGAAAAGTGACCTGCCAGAGTTTTTAATAAAAATGACTTGTCTCATAAAATGTCAAAACAGGAAAAAGAAAAATGCTGACTACATCTGCTACCTAGCATTGCATTCAGCTGTTACTTGCTGTGGCTGATGGGAAATCTTCTTGCATAATTTGCAATACACGCCTCTGAAATCTTGTGCATGTGCAAGGAGAACTGTGAAGGGTATCATGGTCTCTTCGATAGAACCCCATTTTGTACTCGAACATATGATTACAATGCCGACCCAGGCTCCTGTAAACCTTATGTGCCTGAGTTAAAGGAACACTATAGCGTTAGGAATACAAAAAGATAAAGCGACAGATAAAAATAAATAAAATAAAGCTTTACTTACCATTTTCCAACACAGAGACCCCCTCAGCGCTGTTGAACTCTGACTCCACAACATCCCTACAGAGGTATGGTCAAATCCAAAGCCCCTTTTTTTAAATATTATTTTAAATTGGTGTCCATGTCACATGACAGTTTTATTAGGTAATTGCAGCTTATTTTATTTTTTTTATTTTTTTTAAAGGACTTAAAAAATTATATATATATATATATTTATATATATATATTTATTGTTAATTTACTAAGGGGAGAATTGAAGGTGAATTTCAAGTCTAAGATATGAATAGTCCAAGAGTGAAAGCATAGCTCACTGACAGAATTTTTCCCAGTTCTATTTTGACCTTAAATTTGAAACTCACTCTGAAATCTCTCTTTAGTGATTAACCCTGATAAGAGTTTACAGCTTACTAGAAAATTCATCACACAACATATTTTTGCCCCTTTTCCGGTTAATGATTCAATAGCGCTAGCAAGGCAGTGCTAAGCTAACCAGACAGCAGTAGCCGTGGGAGATGACAAGTGAAACGAAAGTCCAACACAGTTATTTACTAATCTGATATTTGCCAATAATTTACAGTGAAATTAAAATTTAAGGCCAAAATAGGCAAACTAAAAACAGATTTGACTGTGCTTCTTTTTTCTTTTTTTTCTAAATTAGATATTTTGGCTTAGAAAATCTTTGAATGGAGGACAATTATATTTTCACTGAGTAACATACTTTACCCTCAGTGTATTGCATATCTACACAGCCAGGGCTCACCATTTCCACTTGTCACCAGCGAATGACAATTTAGCCCTGTCTAATAGAAAGTCACTCCTGGTGAGTGTGCCATAGACCCTCCAGGCTTTCAAAGGGGAATAACTTTGAAAACCAGCATAGGGCTTGAAATTTTGAGCCTTATATACCACATATCACGGGTACTGGCATGGAGAAGATGCGTGACCAGCAACTGTTCAACGCACTGCCCTCTCTTCCCTGAGTTCAACTGCTACTACCTGTATTTACTATACTGTGCTGTTCATTCCTTGCTAATGAGGAAGACACATTTCCCACCAATTAATGAGCCGGGTCCAACTGATCAGAATCAAGAAAAGGTCTCCTTTGCGACACTAAATCCCTTTCCCAAAACTATACAATTACCTGGGCAGCATAACAAATCTGCCAAAAACATGCAGTCACACTTGCTGGTTTAATAATTTCCTGCTATGTTACGTGAGAGTGGGGTGGTTGTACATATAGCCTCCTGTGAATGCCTTGTCTCTACAGTATGTTTTTTTTTTTTTTTTTTAAATAGCCTCATTCTAGATATAAAACCCTTTTTCCTGAGCGTTAGAACAAACTCACATTTGTGTCTGGAGTAAGCAAGTACAACATGCTAACCCTTGATACAGTGCACATGCTACACTGATATTGATGCTTGTGGTCTGTGATAGCTGCTAGGGATCAACCGATATTGATTGATTTTTTTTTTTTTTTAGAGCCGATACCGATGTGTGAACTCAGGCCGATAGCTTACCGATAATCTGTACATTTACCGTATTTTTTTTTTTTGTGAAGTGGTAGATACACAAAATATACATGCCAGTCAGATTTTTTTGTTTTCAAGAATATATATATGTGTGTGTGTGTGTGTGTGTTGTGGATGCAGGGAGAG